AAGGGGTGGAAATGGGTACAATTACAACATTTAAAAGACACTTGGATAAGATAGATGAATAGGAAGGGTTTGGAGGGACATGGGCCAGGAGCAGGCATTTGGGACTAGTTTAGTTTAGGATTATGTTTGGCATGGACTGTGTTGCTGTATCACTGACCCCATTATTGCTGCATTTTTTGACAGTCACATGATTGTTAACTTAGTGGAATTTGGTCTTTGTTGTGTAGCAGTTGCAATCTTCTCTGCTTGTAATTTCAAGGGTTTTTCCTATCTTGATGTAATTATTAGCTAACTGTAGCTGGATATTTTAAACTAGACTGAGATGTACCCATTAGAATTTTATTACCCCCAGCTGCACTCATTGCTATACATTTGTTCTATATTTTAGGATTATTTCTGAATGTGAGTATCTTTTTTCACGGAGTTGCCTCCAGAACATGTCCTATGCCTTTCCTCCTCAGTTAGCTGGTGGGGCTGGAGTTACTCTGGCATAAGGCAGGCAATGGCAAAGACATTATAATTGTAGTCAGTGGAAAAGAAATTAGGAGTTAAGGGTTGCTGATATCAGTCATTTGGCACTAACACTAAACCTGTACACATTCCATGTTTTACCTAGGCCAAAAGTATTCACTTGTTCAGCTACCACTGCATATTTCTTAAGACAGAATGTAACCTCTATCTCACTACAATGTTATTGAATAATCTTGAACATGAAAGCACAGTTAGATGACACCCTGTTCTCTGTGGCTATGATGAATTTGCTAGCTTAAAAATCTAGGTTTTAAGTTTTCTTTTTGCATTTAAAATTTTCCAGTCTCTGCAATTCAAACTACAATCTTCTCAAGAACTAATTTGTCAACAGCTGTTTGGAACAATTTAGGCTTTTGAGTTGAAAGCTAGAACTGAAGAAAATAATTTCAATGATCTCTCAAAACAGGATCATCAACACCCATAATTTAAAAGTCTCCCGACTCAAGACCCAAGAGGAGGTGACGAGTGTGGCTGCTGAGAGCATGTTATTTCCTTGTGGGAAAGGCTAAAATATATATGTATAAAAATAAAGGGTGTTTCAATCATGAAAAGAATTTTTTAGTCTGGGGATTTTTTTTTCTTCCAAGAGCAGTGTAGTTTGCATATCCATCAATTTCCTTCTGAAGAATCTAACTCTGCATTAAAAGTATTCAAAGAGGACAGGCAAGTGTGGAATAAGACCCTGATCAGATTAACCATAATCTTATCAAATAAGAAAAGAAGCTCAAGGAGCCTAAGGCCTGTTTTTTGTTAGACCATTGTCTGAAAACAAATATTTAAACGATAAATTTCATCCAGGAAAATGTGTTTTGCATAAAATGGAGGTAAAAGCTCAAATTATACTCTTGACCTCTAGGATTGATATTTTGTCGTTTTAAAAGACAAATGAAAGAAAGACCCTTCCAATGTCTGCAGAAGATAACTACTCTATGGCAAATATTACTGGCAAAGCTTTGCTGTTTTCTGCATGGTGGCTGTAATATTCATTGTTCATGTAAGATTTTGAGTCTGTATAATTTATTGCCTAAGTAGTAAATAAATTTGGGAAGGTGAGAATGAAGAAGTGGTGATTTCTGCAGCACTGGAGTTTGTAGATTACTGCCAAAGCTTTACCACAAAACGGCTGTCTAATATCTTTGATTACCTTCAACTGTACTTGAGGGCAGCTTTAGTTTTTAAAAGAAGCTTGGTGTGTATTTGAGGCCAAGGTGTTTTGTCCCAGATGCTGTTTTGATTTGATATGGTATTATCATCTGATAAATGATGCATCAGATGGTTTTTGCTTTTTGAATATTTAAATTGCAAACCCTGACCTTTGCTATGAAAGGATTTTAGGCAAAACAGAAATATAAACTGACTCCAAAATGAAGGATTGTATTTACTATTTTTCTGCAAACCCAACTCTATTTGTATCTTTTAGGGGTTTAAGAATTCTGAACTTTGGACTTTATGTAACAGAGGTCGTTATGATACTTAATAGTGGAAAGGAGTGGATACTATGAAGGAACATTAATGTAAAAGGTGTAGAGCTGGATGAACACAGCAGGCCAAGCAGCAGCAGAGGAGCAGGAAAGCTGACGTTTCAGATCTGGACCCTTCTTCAGATAAATCTGGAGATAATGAATAAAACTAACTATAACAATTAGGGATTCAATTTTATACAAATCTAGAATGGAAAACATAGGAAGAATAATGTTAACTATGCAAATACCAGGTTGAAATCATAACCTGTCTGTTTTGCTAACATCCTTTCAAGGAAAGAAAATCTGCCATTCTTGCAAGTCTGTGATTCTAGGGCCACAGCCAAATAGTTGAGTCTAAATTGCTTGCTTAATCAGCCGAGTCTGCTAAGAAATAAAACTGAACAAATCACCTGGCATCAACTTTGTTACTGGACATGAGATAAATCCAACCTAATCAATCCTTAGGGTCCTCCCTATCGTCTGGGGACTTGTAACACAAACCCAAACTTTAGCACAAGAACCACTAAGAGGGGGGGACAAAAAAACCTGTCATCCTATAGAGATGCACCTGTACTGACCATAGTGGTGGTATTGCTGTTACAGAGGCAGCTCAATCTTTACACTGATGACATACTCCATTTATTGTGTGGTACTCTGTTCAATAGGGTACATTGAGAACTAATCTAGGCTCTTGAAACTGGAATGAGATGCCTCAGACCATTTGTAGATGCAGAATTGGATTCCTCTACAATCTGTAGCCACCTGGTCTGGCATATGCCTTGCTCATTACTATCAAGGCAAGAGACGAATTCAACGGGGAGAGTGAAGAAGCATGACAAGAACAGCACCAGATGAACCTGAGGTGCCAAGCTCTTCCAGTTCATTAGAGCACATGCATCTACCAACACTGTGGAAAATTGCCCAGGTATATTCTGTTTTTTAAAAAAAATGAATCTGACTCAGTTAGTGCCCCATCAGTCTACTTTCTACCATAAAGTTATGGAAGATGTCATCAACAGTGCCATCAAGTAGCACTGCTCAGTGACACCCAGTTTGGATTCCTCAGCTCTTGACTTTTTTTTATAGCCTTGGTTCAATCACGGACATCAGCACTGAATTGCAGAGGGGAGGTGAGAGCAACAGCCCTTAATATCAAGACTGCATTCAACTGAGTGTAGCATCATGGAACCCTAGCAAAACTGGAATCAGGCAAAAATCTCCCCTGGTTGGAATCATACCTGGCACATAGGTGGGTGGTTGTAGTTTTTGGATGTCAGTTATCTCAGCTCAAGGACATCTCCCTACGAGTTTGTCAGGGTAATTCCTCAGCCCAACAACTTTCAGCTGCTTCAATGACCTTCCCTCATAAAAAGGTCAAAAGTGAAGATGTTTGCTACTGATTGCACAATATTCAGCACCATTCACAAATCCTCCTACTGATGTAACCTCTGTTGAAATGTAACAAGATCTGGACAATATTCAGGCTTGGACTGACAATGGCAAGTAACATTTGCTAGGCAATGACCATCTCCAATAAGAGACAAACTAACCACTACTCTTTGACATTCAATGGTGTTGCCATCACTAAATCCTCCACTATCAATATCCTGGGCATTACTAGTGACCAGAAATGCAATTGAACTCATCATACTAATACAGTGGCTACAAGATCAGATCAGAGGCCAGGAATACTGCAGCGAGTAACTTGCCACCTGAATCTCCAAAGCCTGTCCACAATCTACATGGCATGCCAGAAATGTGATGGATGTGCACCTATCCAGGCAAGTGGCAAGTATTCCAATAAGCACTCAAGAAGCTTGACACCATCCAGGACAAAGCAGTTTGATTGACACTGCATCCACTCCCTCTACCACAGTGTTCAGTAGAAGAAGTGTGTACTATCTACAAAGCTGCAGTATAGAAATTCAAAGATTCTTAGGCAGCACGTTCCAAACCCAGGACCACTTCCATCTGGAAGGATGAGGACAGCAGAGGCATTGGAACGCTACCACCTGAGTTTTCCTCCAAGCCAATTATCATCCTCACTTGAAAACATATCGTCATTCCATCACGGTCACTGTCAAAATGATGGAATTCCCTCCCCTTGGACATTATGGGTCGACCTGCTGCACTTCAAGCTCACTACCACCTCCCGAGACAACTATGGGCAGGCAATAAATGTTGGCCAGGCAATAAATGTTGGCCAACCAGTGACGCCCATGCCCGAGTGAATTAAAAAAAAACTGGTGACGCTACATCACAGGTGGAACCTCTTCCTCCTGACGTTCAGTGGTATTGGTCTTATCAAGTACCCCACTTAACATCCGAGGGTCATCGCTGGCTAGAATATATGAAATAAAAATATAGCATTAAGCTCCTTGAGCCCGCGCCACCATTCATTAAATTCATGACTAATTTGTGTTTTGAATTCCACAGCTACCCCTCATTCCCTTGGCCAACAAGAATCTAACGACCAAGTCTTCATGCTACAATGACCAGGCTTCTGCCACTTCCTGCGGCAGAGAATTGCAAAGCTATACAACGCTGAGAAGAAAAAAAAAACGTTAAAAGGAACCTTTAATTTCAACAGAGTGCCTACAAGTTCTGGACTCGTTCGCGGGAGAAAATATTATTTCTACATTCACCTCACCAAGATGGAACTCCAGTAAAAACTATACTTAATCGAACCATGAGAGTCCGGGGTTTCTGCAGGGAGTAACTCGCTTTCTCAAAATATTTCTACTACTTAGAAGGCTGGAGGAGAATGCAATGTTATGCACTTGCCCAAATGTGTAGGTGAATAGACCTATTTATGTAGGTAACTATGGTGCAGGAGCGCAATGAATGGAACACACTGCGTCCCCTGATGGGAACAGGGACAATGAATGAGGCGCTGCGTCTCCGGGGGATCCTTGTGCATTGATTGGCTGCTATGTGGATGATGTTAGTGGCCGGACCAACCTATCAGAGAGGTTTTTATTTCGAGGTGAAGCTGTTCGCAGGTTATTGACAGGATGAGGTTCAGGGTTATCTTGGTTCGACAGTGAGTATTGGGGTGAAGGGGGTAGTGGGGCTGCTAAGACCAGGCCGCCTTCCGTTCGAGTTACTGGGTCCAAGTTGACTGCTACTCAGTCATTTTGTGACCGCAGCCGGTGTTTAGTCAGTGCAGCTGGAGTTGTTGATGTCTCTTGCCCGCCGTCTACTTTGTTGTTTGAATGTTGTGGGAGGTACGATTCCTAAATCTTCACCTTGAGGCCCCACTAGTGGTTTCCTTCTAACTCTCAGTCTGATTCACGGCTCCTGAGGCTCCATAACGTGGACCCTGCAGAACTTAAGATTGGCCCTCGGCTTGAATCTTTTAACTCATTCTCTCCCCACAGATGCTTTCTGATCTTCTGAGCATTTCCAGCAATTCCTGTTTTTGTTTCAGATCAGTATTTGACCTGGTCAAGGTCGGGTACCCTTTTCTCGAAGTCATGAGGACACGAATAAGCGAGCTCTTTTCTGTTGAACGTGGTTAAGGATGTCATTTGTCAGTCAGCAATATGATAGGATCTTGCAGCACCGGTGTAGGCCGTCCTTGTCTGGAAGAGCTATCCAATCAGTCCCACTCTATGCTACTCTTCCCAATAGCTGAGCAGCTTTTTTTCATTTGATGCTCGTGCATGTATCACCAGCCCATTCATTTTGAAAGTTCTTGTTGAACGTGCTTCTCTCACTTTCAGTAGTGGATTAGTAAAAGCCATGTGTGAATCACTATAACTGAAATTTTAACATCTATATAAACATTTAATATTTAAATAGAAAAATGGATGAATGGAATTTTTCAGTCACCTTCTTCACTGACAAGCTTGCTGAAAGCTGACATAAAGCACAAAAGGGAAGAGCACAGTGCAAAAACAGATGCTGGCATGATATAAACGTTCCCCTGCCCCATTATATATGGTATGTAGTGTGTTTTGTCCATCACGTTTGGATGTTGCACTTCTCTTTATGCAGACTTTTGGAGATACTTGAAACTGATGTGCTGCAAATTTCTCATTCCTGTTTGACAGTCCTCAGGTATGTGTCCTACTATGATGTGCATTTTGGAACTGAGTGGCAGGTTTCAGGGTATGGTATTTTTATTAGTTTTCTAGTTGTTCAGAGCGTTGCTGATAATGTCCACGGGCTCATTCCGGCTCCACTGGGCCAGCTGGTTCCACATGTAAATAGGAAATGAAGTTGGTGTCAGTTTGAATATATAACGTCAACTTGAGTGCTGTTCAGTAAATATCAGGTGTACGAAGATAAGCCATAACTATGACAGGCTATCATTCAAGATCTATCCTAGGGAAAAGAGAAGGATGAATGGCTCCTGGGGAAATCTCTCCTATCTATCTATCTATCTATCCATCTATCCTCTTTGACCTTGGCTTATGAGACTGTTGCCTTGGCAACCAATGAGGCTAAGCAACAAAGCAATTAGGGCTTTGCCAAAACCTGGATGCTCACTGAGCAGTGTTTTGAAGCAATAATTCTGTTGCCTGGGTGACTTTGAGTGCCTTATAGTGCACATGACAAAAATTGTCCAAATGAGTGGTGATGTCCTGTATGCTCTATAATATCACAATGAATAGAGGCATCAACATGCAGGCGACTGATGAGCAGAACAAAGGAGGACTCCAGGATGTGGCTGAGACATTCTTGCATGATAGCCAGTAGTGTCAATAAGTCACTCCAACATTCTTCAGCTAAGCTGCAACAGTTTCACTGTTGAAAAGGTAGGGCTATCATGACTGTTCATTTCACTTGTCCTTGCACTGTTAACGCTGTCATGCAGCTTATAGAAAATGTACTGTTACTTGCTGGAGTGTATGGCTGCCCGTTGCTTGCCAGCAATTGGGGTTAGTGACAGGGGCAGATGTAGTGAAAGGAATCCAACTCTTTAAGGTACAGTGTGTTTACTGTAACGGGTCTGTTCATTAATTCCTCACTCCATTCACACTATGATATGCTGTTTTTAATAGGCATTTCTTTCACCCTTGACATGGTATTGTATTTGTGATTTGCTGCCATTGATTTAGAACGTGAGGCTTTCTTTTGTGTAAAATTACTGTTTGGGTTGTGAATGTCACTGGTCAGCATTTATTACCTATTCCTAATTACCCTTGAACTGAGTAGCTTGCTGGGCCATTTCAGAAATCAGTTAAGAAGGAGCCACATACTTTAAATATGGAATCGCATTTAGACCAGACCAATTAAGGATGGTAGATTTCCTTCCTTAAAGACCATGAGTGCAACAATTAATGAGAAAGTCATGCCTACACAATGCTGAGACTAACTTTGTATTCCAGATTTTTTCAAAAATTCAATTTGTTATTTGAAATCATGCCATTGAGAATTAGCTTGGGTTTCTGAATTATTAGTAATAATAATTACGCTACTGTCTTCTCCTTTCTTTAGAACACTTGGTAAAATCTACTATCCTCTTCACAGACAACATTGTAACAGATGTACTTCTTGCAGACTGCTCACTTCTGGAATCTCAATTTCACTGTTGCAAGTTCAATACAATTAAGCATGCATTCTTCCTAGACATCAGAGAGTCATTGAAGCTAACTCCTGGCTTCACTCTTGAATTCTGTGTATCGTTGGCCTGCAGCAAGTAGTACAGTGAGATATTATGGCGGTCTTTACCATGGATTCAGTAACTTGGCTTAATTTTGCCACATTTGTTCAGTTTTCACTGTGACTTCCTGGAATGTGGAGTATGGCTGTAGGGTCTCTCGGGTAGTTTTCCTCTGGCTTATTTCAGAAGATGTTTCACCTTTTTAATACCATCTGAATCTGCCCTGCAACAGGAAATATAAACAAAATTTTCCGGGGAGTTGATCTTTCAATCCTCATGCACAATAGTTGTACAATTCTGTTAATTTGTAGAAATAATGTCTAATTGTGTAGATATTTGTGAACCTCGTATTGTGAAGCACGAAACTGGGATTGTCTTGCTATTTACTGCTTTAATGTAAGACTTTTTCAAACATTATGTTTTAGTGGTGAAACAAGATACAACAAAGCAAAACTTCTTCAAGGTAAGTAATATTTGAAAAAACTGTAATGTTTTAACTCTAACTTAGAGTTCTAGCTATGTTTGGCTAACCATATTCACCTTGTTTCATTTTGCTTTGGTAATGACTTTTGATGTATCATCTCCAGCTCATCCCCAATAGCAGGAATCCTAGAGGCTAAGCAAAATTGTTCGAAGGATGACCTGTCATCAAAAAAAGTGTGCTTGGATTTGTGCGAAGGATCTGTGCAGAGTTGTCATGGAGTGTCTTAAAAACTCTTAGTCGGTGTCTGTTTTAATGGCTTTTCTTTCTTCCAGTTTTTCAGCTAAGTGTTGTTATTTTGTGTAACACATTATATAAACCATCACTAAGCAATCTGTGTAACCTTGCTATATCACTGTACGATTCGGTTTCTATTTAGAAATCTTAATGTAGGATTTATGTAGTGCTTAATAGATAAATGTACATTGTGGTGTAAAATTGCAAATTAAGACGACTTCAAGGTCTACCAGTTGCCTGCCACTTACTTGGGTTGTCAACTTCAGTATTTGAATTTTCTTTATCTCCCAGTGAAAGCAAAGGAAATACTGGCTCAAGTTATTGACCTCAAATAAACAACGTATTTTAGATTGCATTATTCACATTTTAAGACCATTCCTACAGTACTGTATTTGTGTTTATAAAGACAAACTCATTACCATGTTTGTACAGCAGCAATCCACAAATAGCAAATTATCAGTTAATCTGTGCTAACATCTGTGATGTTGCCATCCTTCTCAACACTGCTCTGAAGTGTCAGTCTAGATTTTGTTTTAACTGTATAATGGAGCTTGAATCTGCAACCTTAAGTTGTTGAATCAAGAGTGAGTACAGTGACCGTTGCAGAGGAATGTAGATGAGCAAGCCTGAATGACATGTGGAATATCCGTTTACATTATATGAAGAATGTGGAAATATTTTAATGAATAATCTTTTCAAATGCAGTAATTATTAGGTGGAACTACCGAATAACTAACCTGCGTCAGCAATATCTCTCAATAGCAATTAAGGTATTACCGGCAAGAACAGTGGGAAACATCTTTGTACTTGGATAGTGTCCAATATCTTTAGCATTTGTCTGAAACATTGTAGGCAGATTAGATCTTAGTTGAACATCTGCTGAAGAATGACATGTCTGACAATGCAGCAAGTGTATCCGGCTACATTAGGAGATCAAATCTTGATGAAAGTTTGAGGAAGAGGTAGAAGCACGAGCAATTAAACAAGCTGACAGTCTATGGAGTGAGGACAAGTTTAACTTTTCACTGGGGTCTAGAGTATGTACAAATTAGGAGCAGGCATAGGCCGTTTGGCCCCTCAGGCCTGCTCTGCCATTTGATAAGATGACAGTTGAGCTGTTGGCGTTCTGAATTCCACATAACCTTAGATTCTTGTTAGGCAAGTGAATCAATCTATCTTTTCCTTAAAAATATTCAATGACCGTATCTCCACTACCACCTGAGGTAGAAAGTCTCAAAGAGAATGCATTCTGGATGCAGTACGAGAAGGTTTCTAGTAAGGTGTAGGTTGTACCCCTAAGCTGAGGAAAGGAGAATGTCGAGGACCACGATGAAAAGTTGATTTTACTGGTGGATAGTGTTCCGAATCATTTCTGTGTTATGGAAAATTCAGCTTGTAATGTTGCCTTGTTACTATAAGGCAAATCAGGTCTGACTAATTTATTAGAGTTTCTTGATGAAGTCTGAACCAGGGTAGATAGGGGCGGAACCGTAGATGTGTTGTATTTGGACTTCAGAAGGTACTCAACAAGGTACCTCACAAACGGTGAAAAGAGCCCACGATGTTGGAGGTAATATAATTTCATGGATAGAGAATTGATTATTGGGCAGGAAACAAATGGTGGTAAGGGTTCTTTTTCAGGTGGCTGACCTGTGACCAGTTAGGTTCCACAGGGATCAGTGCTGGAACCAAAACTGCTTACAGTAAATATTAATAACTTAGAGGAAGGAAGTGAATGTACTATAGCCAAATTTGTAGACAACACAAAATAGATGGACAGGATACAAACAGTTTACAGAGATATTGATAGGTCAAGCAAGTGGGCAAAAAGTTGGCAAATGGAGTGTAATGTGGGAAAATGTGAAGTTGTTAATTTTGGAAAATTGAACAAAATATTATTGAATAACTTGAATAAACTTAATGACCCAGCCTTGACAGCCCTCTCCGGCAAATATTTCCACAGATCCACTACCCTCAGAAGAAATTCCTCCTCCGCTTCGTCCTAAGGGTGCGACAGGAGTTGGGATGGAGGGGTGCATCTTCAGGATGGCAACCTGTAACTAGTGGAGTGCCAGAGGCATCGGTTCTGGGGCCACAGTTATTTACAACATATCAATCTGGGATGAGGAAAGTCAGTGTACAATATACAATTTTACAGATGACAGAAAACTACTGAGAAGGCAAGAGGTGAGGATGACCAAGTCTGCAGAGGTTAATAGCTAGGTTAAGTGAGTGGGATGCAACTTGGTAGATGGAATATAATGTAGGGAAAATGTGAGGTTATGTGCTTTGGCAGGAAGATTAAAGGAGCTGAATGAAACTTAAATTGAGAGACTGTGGAAAGCTGCAGAGCGGAGGGATTTGGGATTCTTTGTATGGGAATCACTGAAAAGTCAGCAGTCAAGTTCAGCAGGTAATGGGGAGGAAAATGGAATGTTGGCCTTTGTTTCAAAGGGATAGAGTGTAGAAGTAGGGAGGCTTTGCTTAAACTATACAAGGCACTAGTCAATCCAGATTATTGTGAACAATTTTTCTCTTATCTAAGGAAAGAGATACTAACAGTGGAAGCAGTTCGGAGAAGGTTCATTAGGCTGATACCTGGTGTGGAGGTACTGAGGAGAGGTTGATTAGGCCTGTACTCGTTGGAATTTAGAAGAGTGAGAGGTGACCTTATTGAAACGTATGATTCTTAGGTACTCGATGGGTGGCTTCTAAGAGGTTGTTCCCCCTTGTGGGGGAGTCAAGGACCAAAGGACATAGCCTCAGAAAAAGGGCTCGCACCCTTAGGACGAAGCTGAGGAGGAATTTCTCCTGAGGGTAGTGGATCTGTGGAAATATTTGCCGGAGAGGGCTGTCAAGGCTGGGTCATTAAGTTTATCAAGGCTGAGGTTGACATTTTTAATCAGTAAGTGAATCAAGGGGCATAGGAAAAAGGCAGTAAAGTGGAGTTGAGGATTATCAGGTCAGCCATGAGCTCGTTGAACGGCAGAGCAGACACTTTAGGCTGAACGGTCGACTTCTGCTCTTGCAAATTATAGATATGCCATTGTGTAATATCAGAAAAAAAAGTCATACTCAATTGCAGACAGTGTAAGTTATTGTGTTTCTGACACAAGCAATGGTCATGGTCTTTGTAAGAGAGGTTATCAAGTTAAAAGAACTTTAAAACTGTGTTGTTCACATCAGTTTGAGTGTTTTATTTTACAAAAGAATTTTACTCATCTTGTCTTACCGAAAAGCAAAAACTCACTGTAAATGAGTGCCAATCCATGCAAGCTTTGTCGAAAGACTGTACTGCAAACTTAAGCAGGCCCTCTTATTTTGTTCTTTTTTAATTTAAACATTTTTATAGATATATATCTGAGAATACAATGTTACAAAGGTTATTCTAGAATCTTTCTGTTCTTTACTAGGGCAGGGTGTGGATGAACCATTGTCCGAGTTTGGCTCCAAGCAGGCTAAGGCTGCAGGCCAGACTCTCGGCAAAATCAAGTTTTCTCATGTGTTTTCAAGTGACTTGCAGCGTGCTAAG